TTAAAGACAGAATGTAAGAAGACAGTTTAGGACTGTCAGCCAAAGAATCTATCTACAGAAAAAGTTGAGAGATCAAAATATTATTAAATGAAATTTGTATTTTTTGACTCTGCTTGGATAAAATGCAACTGTAAATCAGTTCTATACTTTGTTCATTTTTAGCAATTGTGATGGGCAAGTGATCTCTAAAACTTCTTCCTAAACTTTGTTTTTGTTTAAGATATCCTAAGACCAAATTTGTTCTACTTTAAAATTTAAAAAAATCTGGGTTATTTTTTTGGGAGGAGACCTCACCTAGTGGTTGTCAGGCTTACTCCTGGCTCTATGCTCAGGGATAACTCCTGGTGGAGCTTAGTGGACCACATGGAATGGCGGGGATCAAATTGAGTCAGCCGTGTGCAAGGTAAGTGCCTTCCTTACTGTACTATCACTCTGACCCCTAGTCTACATTTATCTTAATGAATGACACTACCACAAAAATGACAAACCTCCCTTATAAAAGATACATGTGTTTTTAAATTAAGATAAACAATATAAAATCATTTGAACTCTTTTAAAAATACATTTCAGTGGCTTGTAGAATATTCATAGTGTTGCACCACTATGGCCCCTATTTAATTCTACAGTATTTTCATTACCCTCAGTGGAATTTACCCATACCCATTATGCAGTCACTATCCCATGACTTCAACCCCTGACACCCACTAACAAACTTTCTGTCTATATGAATTTACCTTAGAAATAAGTCTTTTATGAGATCTGGAGAACTGGTGCAGCAGGTAGGGCATTTACGTTGCATGCAGCCATCCCAGTTTCAATCCCTCACACCACTTCCACTCCCTTGTTCCCTGCTAGGACTGATCTTTGAATGCAGAGCCAGGAGTAAACCTTGAACAGAGTTGGGTGTGGCCTAAAAATCAGGAAATGGTGAAAAATGGGAATAAATAGGCCTTTTTCTTAATCTTCTGAAATTTTTATTAAACTTTGCAATTAGAAACTGTAAATGACTGAGAATATCTTTATGTGCATGCGTATGTAAGAGAGAGAGGGAGAGGAAGAGAGAACAAGAGAGAGGGAATAGAGCATTCATGAAAATTTTGCCAGCTCAAATATATTTGATATATTCCAACAAAATGAAAACATAGAAGAATGTCACTGTCCTCCCCTTGTTCATCGATTTGCTCGATGGGCCCAGTAATGTCTCCATTGGAGACTTTGTTGTTACCGTGTCTGGCATATCGAATACGTCACGGGGAGCTTGCCAGGCTCTGCCGTGCGGGTGAGATACTCTCGGTAGCTTGCCGGGCTCTCCGAGAGGGGCGGAGGAATTGAACTCGGGTCGGCCATGTTGGCTGCGTGCAAGGCAAACGCCCTACCGCTGTGCTGTCGCTCCAGGTAAAGTAAAAGTAAAGTAAAGGCCCTCCCGTTGATCATCGATTTGCTCGAGCGGGCCCAGTAACGTCTCCATTGGAGACTTTGTTGTTACGGTGTCTGGCATATCGAATACGTCACGGGGAGCTTGCCAGGCTCTGCCGTGCGGGTGAGATACTCTCGGTAGCTTGCCGGGCTCTCCGAGAGGGGCGGAGGAATCGAACTCGGGTCAGCCATGTTGGCTGCGTGCAAGGCAAACGCCCTACCGGCTGTGCTATTGCTCCAGCCCATAGAAGAATGATTATTTTAAGTTAGCTGTCATAATTTAAGTTATATTTACTTTCTCATGTTATTCATAGACTTAAGAATTGTCTGATAGTTCCTGCAATACGTCATGTAATGTTGATGGAAGGTTTTTAAGTGGCAACATGACTTTATTGCTCCTTATTCATACCCAATAGAAACCATTCTAGCTCCAAGTTCTTCATGTAAGAGACTATAATGCTGCTATCTTTCCTTAGACTAGTGTAGTGGTGACTATCCTTTACTCTGTTTGTACCGATGTGCACATCAGATACAGGAGAGGCAGCAGGATACTGATGGTTGTTTTTTATTTTTTTTTAAAGCTTTCTTTTGTTTTGGGTCCACACCCAATAGATGCACAGGGCTTATTACTGGTTCTACACTCAGGGATCAATCCTGGTGGGTTCAGGAGACCAGATGGGGTGCTGGGGACTAAGCTAAGTTTAAACTGCATGTAAACAGCACCCTGCCTGCTGTACTAACACTCCACCCCTGAAAATGAGCGATTTAGAAATAAAATGATAAAATTCATTTGTTTTCCAGCCATAAAACATACCAATTTTTAAATGAGAACATTTTATTTCAGCTGAAATCCTTTAACATTAATATCACAATGTTAATGGTCTTGAGGGACTTGTGTGTGTGTGTGTGTGTGTGTGTGTGTGTGTGTGTGTAATCTGATTAAAACCTTGCATGACCTAGTATGATAAAATTGGATCATGAGTTCTGTAAAAACTACATACACGGTCACGGTCCTCCCGTTGTTCATCAATTTGCTCGAGCGGACCCAGTAACGTCTCCATCATGAGACTTGTTGTTACTGTGTTTGGCATATCGAATACGTCACAGGGAGCTTGCCAGGCTCTGCCGTGCGGGCGAGATACTCTCGGTAGCTTGCTGGGCTCTCCGAGAGAGGCGGAGGAATCGAACTTGAGTCGGCCACGTTGGCTGCGTGCAAGGCAAACGCCCTACAACTGTGCTAACTTTTTAAATAAATCTGAATTTTCAGCCAAAGTAAGAAGTGCTAGCTGGTAGTGCTTGGAGACCTATGTTGTCAAGACCAGTGGATTACAGTCTCTTTGTATTTGCATCTATCATGAGTATTTTCTAATTCCATTTCCACTATTTTTGGGGTTTGGGGTTCAAACCTGGCAGTACAATGGTGGGTCAGTCCTTGAGTAAGACCTGGGCATGAAAGCTTGTGCTCCAGGCCTTGATCCTCCATTTTCTTTCCATTCATGAGACCCACCACCACCACTACTACTAACAACAGCAAACATGGAGGCTCTTGGCATTTCCATTACAAAGGATTTAGGATTCCCTTGCTAGAGCCCCAACACTGTCAGTTACTTAATTTCATGCACTTTGCTTCTTTTCTTTCCAAAGTATCTTTCCTATGTGCTTCAACATAGTCTTGCAAGTCTTAGTTTGTTCTGCTCACCCCCGTGAGTTGATCTGAGCATTCCTATAGCGAAAACTCCAACTCCAGTTTGAGGTGGACATTGACTTAACTCTTAGTTCCACAAACACTTCTTGGGAATCTCCTTTAAGCCACGGGGAAGTTGGAGGCCGTAGATGTGCGGAATAATATTACTCTTGAGCCATGTGACAATGCAACACACAGAAGAGCTTGTTTCTGAGACCGCTGAGTATCATCGTATGACCCTTGCCGGGGGACATCAACAAAACCTATCTTTAACAAGACATCCCGGCAATGTGGAGGTTAATCTGACAAGCTCTATCCTTCAGTGGATCCCTCAGATCCTGTGGATCCAGGGTTCCATTTTCCAGCTTCAGAGGTTTTACAAAATTCCAGGAGTGAAGAAAAAGGAGGTGAAATGTGCAGCGGGAAAAGAAAAGTGAAGGGGGGGGGGGGTGGGAAGAGCTTGAAACAGGGGAAAGCAGTTAGCAGCCATAGCTAAACTGTAACCCCCCTATCTCTAACCTCCAGACCACTTGCCAACCGAATCTAGGGGCACCCCGCCCTCAGATGTATGGGGCTCCTGATGGAGCATCCAGATACCGGGCAATTATTCGGGCAAGTCTCCTTCAGCGCTGGGCGTCAGTCGGGCTGTGCACGCGGGGTGTGTTGTCCGACTGCAGTTTCCATGCGGAGGATCCACTCCCGGGTTTGGGCGAGATTTGGAAAGGGTAAGGTCCCAAGCTGAAAGTGGGGGGCAGAAGGGTTTGTACGCACCAGGGGGTTCTGTCGGCGATGAATGAGGGACAAGGGGACCCACAAAAGCCTAAGTCGGGTCGTTTATATGTTGGGTTTGGGGTCTGTTTTCTTTAAAATTCACCTATCCCTCCAGGAGCTCACCCGGACAGGGTCAGACCCGGGGCCACAACTGGGATAACCGGTATTCCTGGTGAATGCCTGTCCCGGGCGATGCGGGGCGTTTGGAGGAGAGCGGGGCGCGGCTTGCGGAGGGAGTGTGGAGCGCTGGCTCGCAGGGGGCGCGTAGCCCCCGGGAGCCACAGGCTGGGCGCAAACCCCCGCCCCCAATTCCCCCTCCCCACCACGCTGGGCGTGGGTCCCTAACCCTCTGCAGAACCAGATATTCCCAGCTCTCTTCAGGCTCTGAAGGGGGCGCCTCCGATTCCGATCCGCTGCCCCGATTCCTTCCCCTTGGTGCTGCTTCTTGGAGGGAAGACCCTCTGCCTTTGCTGGGAATAAAAGACTCCCCAGCCCAGGAGGATCGGGGTGGGACGGCTACGAAAGCGGCCTCGGAGGGGACAGGATGGTATTTCTTTATATGCAGATGCATGTGAAAAAATGACATTCGGGCCCGGCGGGTGGGGAGAAGGATGAAGTCGCTCAAACGGCGGGTGCCCCCGCAACACCGCAGAGGGTCGCGGGATGCGCCCACCCCACCCCCAAGTTCGCTGCAGCGAGTCCAGAGGCTCTTCGAACCCGGTTGGCCGAGGGTCGCCTGGAGTGGGCCCAGAGGGCCTGAGCACTGCTGGCCAGCCTCCCTCTGCAAACGACTTCGCTTCAAAGACCCCCCTGACCCTGCTCCCCCACGTCCGCGCTGCAGGTCTGCGTAGCGCCCGTCGGTGGCCGCCCTCTCCCCGACGGGGCGCGGGGCTCTTGCAACCCGGCTAGGCGCGCCACCGTCTTCCCCCTCCCCGCCCGCCTCCCCGCGTCCCTCCCGGCGGCGAGCCCAGGGCCCCAGCAGGGCGGCGGGCCGGGAAGGGCGTGGAGGGCGGCGGGCTAGCGCCGCGGGGACGCCCGGGCCGGCCGGGCAGCGAGGGGGCGGCCCCGCCGAGGCGCACGGAGCCCCGCCCCCGGCCCGGTATAAGTGCGGCGCGAGCCGGCGGCGGCGGCGGCGGCGGCGCGGCAGCGGCGGGGCGAGCTGGCACTGGGGCGCCCGGCGCGGCTGCTGAGTTCGGCCTATTGAGCCTCCCACCCGCTTCCATAAGGCTTTGCCTTTCCAACTTCAGCTACAGTGTTAGCTAAGTTTGGAAAGAAGACCCAGAGAAGACTCTCCCCACCCCTCCGTGCGCCACTTGGCTTTTTTGTTGTTCACCCAACTAGCTTTGCCGTTGGGGGTCTGTTTTTGTTTTTGTTTTGTTTTGCACAAGGCTATTTGTGATTTTAGTGGTGCTCTCCTCGGTTGCCTACACTCCTCTTCACAAGCACCTCAGCGAAAGCAGCAGCAGCGGCGGCTTCGGCAGTGGGAGCCGAGGGGGAGCCTGGTGTCATGACCAGGACCAGAGAGCCCAACCGCCAGGGAGGATGCTGCGGTGAGTTGAGCGTGCACGGACCTGGGCAGACCTGTAGCTCCACCGAGGGCTAGGCAGAATGCGGCTCAGTAGTGTTTTCTATATAACTCCTTTGCAGGGCAACTCGAAGGTGTGGGCATAAGGCATGCAGGCCGGCAAGGATGGAGTAGGCTGCGTAGTTTGGATGGCCTTGTTTAAAGGGAGTGAAAGGATGTTGAACGAAGAACATTTTTCATTTGCGTATTAAGTTAGGCAGCTATTGGCGGAATTTGAGTTGGTATTGAGTAAACTCAGCTCCTGGATTCCTAGATGACCCCGTGGAGTGTGCGTTGTTTACTCTACGAAGTAGATTTTAATAGGAGCAAATGAAGAGGCTTGAAAGCGTTCCAGCCTAAATGAATGCCTTTTCTCCCCTTTTTATTTTTCCCACTCTCTTTTTGCAGGATCCTTCGCAAACTACCTGACCTCTGCGAAATTCCTTCTCTACCTTGGTCATTCCCTATCTACTTGGGTAAGTAAGAATATGCAGTAACTCTTACAACATACTTGCACAATTTTGTGTCCTTTTATTTGGGCCGGTTGTATTAAGCCACCTTGCAGTTTGTCATGAAACTTAAACAAATTGGACAAGGTATTTTGCCCCGGAATATTTTCCCATAGGTGTTAGTAAATGCTGTTTAATTATAAGGTTATAAGACTGTAGATTGGTAACTACCCAAAGACAATTAACAAGCAGAGGAATGTTTGTATTGCTTGTAAATTGTATGTTACATTACTAAACGATAGTAAATAGAAACGTTTGGTTCTCAGTTGGGAAGGATATCACTTCCACCCTCTTTCACTTTGAAATGATCAACTTCAGCATCCTGCACTACGAAAATACAGCAGAATAGTGACTGACTCAGATTAACACTAACATTCTAAGATTATCAACACAGTTGACCCCAAAGCAAATATCTGAGTGATAAAATTTCTAGGCTTTAAAAAATATTATCTATAGGAGGATTTTTCAGGAGCATTGCAGGCTCTTTAAAAGCATCATTCAATCAGCAACTGCTTCCTAATTCTTCCTTGGCTTCATATGTGATCTTGGAGGGGTCCTAGAGAGTTCATGAACTTGATCTTGCTAGAAAAAGAAATAACTACAAAAAATGCTGGGTGTGGATTTAATAACAATAAAATCTTTATTATTTTTTAATAATCAAATCTTTAAAATAAAACAATTATTCTTTTCAAAAGCTATCAATCCGAGCATATTGTAGTAACACCTGGTATTTATTTTAAACCTTAAGGTGAAAGATTTTGAGAGTACAGTTTGTGAATGTTATTTACTTTTAAGTTGGAAACTTCATATGGATAATCCTAAAGGCATTTAGAGGGAACTGTTGGTCAGGAAATGTGTACCTTATGGCCTTGGAAAATTATTAAGCTCGGTTATCAGCTCTTTAAAAAATGTTAGTTCAAAGATGACTTTTTAGAAAGGCGGGCACTTCTTTCCCAGATGCTCAGAGGAGGATGACTCTGCAGATATGTGTAAACAAAGTGGAACCGGTGGTTAGCTGTTGAGTGTAAGCAGAAAGCTAGTCACACTGTCCTTAATTTATTGAAACCAATTCCTTGTGCTTCCACTAAAATTCAACAGGTGTAAGGTATTAAAGAAAACACAACAGGTGATGGAGGTTGGATCTGAAATTCTTACCTTCAGATATGAAACCCGTCTCTTGGAAAATAAGTGCTTTGGTTCCAAATACTGTTTAGGTTTAAGGTTTATATAACCTCTCAATAATCGGTTGGGGGGTCACACTTGCCTAAAAGTGGATCCATGATGGTTCTGTGTGGACTTTTTTGGTCATGTCTATTCAAATTCCATCAGAAAAGTGACAGACACTTTTAATATTATAGTAAGTAGAACAAAGGGGGTTCTGTGGATAAATTGGATTTTAAAAAAAGAAAAATTAAAAATTTGAGCTAAAATCGTAATAGGATTCTATGAATTTCCACATCTCATTGCAAAGAGGTGTAAAGAGGAATGCTTTCTAGCTGTAGTAAATTCTATCTTTCGTATTTTGTTTCCCATTATACACTAATTTTATGATAATGAATTTGCTGTGTGTATAAATATGTATATAGGTGTGCATGCATATGTATTCATTCCCTGATAACTCTTGATTTTCTGATTTCCTGCACACTGAGCGTAAAGGTGTTAGAGTACAAGGTAATATCAAGTTAAATTTGTGTAGGATTGGATGGTTTTTTATTTTTGCATTCATTTTTGTCTGCCAGATCAGTACTCTGTATTATACTTAGCCAAATAAAAGTTACTGTTAGAAGTGAGTCCTGTCATAAAACAGCTGCAATAAAATTTAATATTGACTTTATTTATTTTAGGGAGACCATACCTGGCAGTGCTCTTGGCTTACTTCTGGCTCTGCACTCAGGGGTCAGTCCTGGCAGGGTTCAGGACACTCATATGGAGTACTCACTGTCCTGACTCTCTGGCTCATGTATTGACTTTTAAAAGTTTTTACATAGCATTGTCTGTAGCACTGTCCTCCCATTGTTTGTTGATTGCTTGAGCGGGCACCAGTAATGTCTCCATTGTGAGACTTGTTGTTCCTGTTTCTGGCATACCGAATATGTCACAGGCAGCTTGCCAGGCTTTGCCATGCGAGCGGGATACTCTCTGAGAGGGACGGAGGAATTGAACCTGTGTCGGCCGTGTGCAAGGCAAACGCCCTACCCACTGTGCTATCGCTCCAGCCCTATATAAGATCACAAATATAACAGTGGACACTCATGCAAGAGAGTGGTCTATTTCTTATATCTTATTCTCATATCATCTCCATTTACACCCCAGCTCTCTCTCTACTCACTGAGATTGCTGTCAAAATTCCATGCGAAATGTCACCATCCAACACTATTCAATTTTAATTTTCCTCATAGCATTTACACCACCTGACTGCTCTGCTCTGCTCTAGCTCTGCTAATTGGGATACAAGCTGCATGAAAGCATGGGCCTTGATCTTGGTCAATGGCTGGACTTCTAGTGTCTGCAGTAGTGTTGGGCATATAGGGGTGACTCCGATAATGTAGGGATGATTAAGTGATTAGTAATTGTGATCATTCTATTCAGATATTCTTCAACTCTCAACTCTCAGTATTCTGGTGGTAGATGAACACATAGACAGACACCAGTCTGGTGGGAGGGCAGGAAATGAATGTAAGAAAGGTATGATCAGGCTTGAGATTGTTCTTGACCAGTATTTAGAAATTTAGAATTTATCTGATTATTTTTTGAATCACCGTGAGCTAGACCATCACAAAGCTATTCATGATTGGGTTTCAGTGTATATTTCCCACCATCAATGTCCCAAAGCTTCCCTCCTGACACCTCCTTAACCTTCTTCCCCCACCCCCCCACCTGCCTCTATGGCAGGTAAGTTTCTTCTCTCTCTCTCTCTCTCTCTCTCTCTCTCTCTCTCTCTCTCTCTCTCTCTCTCCTTTTGAGCATTATGGTTTGCAGTACATCTACTAAGAGGTCATCTTCATGCTTGTTCAGACTGTTAAGTATTTTTATTGGGAAGGTATGGCTGGAGTAGCTTTTTTCTTTTTTAACTGGGTGGTAGCTTTGGGCTGTGGAAATGACTACCAGAGCTTCAAAAAATTCAGTGAGATGGGAGGGGGGAGGGGTAACTTACCATGATCCAGAGAAATCCTGAAGATTTCAGTCACAAAACCGTCATCCCCAAATTTCCAGCAGGTTAATATATTGGTGAGGTCCTTCTCGAGAAGGTGGAGTCCAGCCAGGGCCACGGCAGTGAGTTTGGATTGTGGGAGCAGTTGACTGCTGGGGGCTCTGTTTGGGCAGGCACCAGGCTAACCTTCCCCTCCTCTAATATACCTGGGTCTGTTCAGCTTGCACAGGTTTGGGATTAATTGCTACATTTGATCTCTTTTGAGATTTATTTATGGGTCTCTGAAGCAAAGCCGACAAATAAGCTTGTGTGGCTGAGCCAGAGATGGTTTCTGGTCGTGGCTTCCACTTACTTAACTTTTGGTGGTTTAATTTCTCAGAAAACTTGGTCCTAAGTTGTTGGAGTCCAGTCAGAGGCACAGTGGTGATTTTGGAGTATCAGAAAGCCTGAAGGCACCATCAGGCTGCTGATGTACTTGCTCTGCAGGTGTAGGTTGATCTTCTGGTGGTGCAGTACCACCTGTGCCCTGGTGGCGATGGCTGCAGCAGTCCCCCACCCTTGGCAAGGACCAGAATTAGGGCCAGGCTTGCTACCTTTCACATTCTGGGTTCTCTGCGTGGGCTGCAACCCCCAGTCCAACAGAACCTGACAGGGGGCATATACCCCATCCTTGGTCTCTAGACAGTTGACACCCAGGGAGATTTTCTTCCATAATATGCTATGGGCAGCATGGGTTAGTCCAGGTAAGAAATGGCAGTGGGGCCACTCTGCCATGGTGAATCACTAGGACCCAATAGTGGGAACACGAGGCACCCCCTTAACTCTGGGACCTTTGCTCTGCAGTGGTGCTCAGTTGGACCTGAAGAGCCCTATTCTGACACTTAAAACTCTACCATTGGGCTGGAGCAATAGCACAGTGGGTAGAGCATTTGCCGTGCATATGGCCGACCCTGGTTCGATTTCCAGCAACCCATATGGTCCCCTGAGCATCACCAGGAGTAATTCCTGAGTGCATGAGCTAGGACCTGTGCATCACCGGGTGTGACCCAGAAAGCAAAACAAAAACAAAAACAAACAAAAAACCTCTACCACTGCCCATAGCACAGAGAACTGCGGTAGCTCTGCCTGCTGGCCACTATCCTCACAGTGCAACTTTTGGGACGCTCTCTGGCTGGTTTCGTTTAATGATGCTTTCCCTGAGACAGAATATCCATGGGGCACCCACAGTCACTCACACCGTAATCTTATGGGTCCATTGGTTGCTCAGAGCTTTGCCATCCCTCTGCCAGCACAGGCGCTTGCCACTGTGCTGCTGCCACCTTGACTGGAAGATGGAAGGAAGTCAACCTTTATCTGATTCTTGGGCTATGTGAACGTGGCTTCTTAAAGCCCAAACCCTGTGGGAAATGAGCTAATGAGAGTGATTTTGTTCCTCTCTCTCCATGGAGGAATGAACAAGAGAGGGAAGACTTTATAAAATGATATTTTGGGGAAAATATAGTAATTTTTTTAAAAAAAGAAGCAATAGTAAACTTTTCTTTTTAATGATAAGAAAGAAGGAAATTTACTCAGTGAGAAACCTGTTATTTAGAGCATTTGTGTGCTTTTATTTTTAGAAGCTACTTAGAGGAATGGAGATTAGAATCAATTGTTTCCCTCTCCCTATCACATATTATTTTAATCAAATCCATTTTTGCTTCTCATACTTAAAGATTAAGAAACTGCTGTAATTTGTTGTCCATAAAGGCATCTTCACCTTAATATATAAATATCTCTTTTTATTGGTTTCAAATAAATTATGTGTATGATACACTTTCAATCAGTTCAATGGTATTTGCAACTTAACTCCTACTTAAGTGAAAACTTTCTATTATAAAATCAAACGTAGATGAGCTATTTCAGAAATATTAATCGTGTGCCTGTTAATTCTCAAACTCTCCAAAGATTGACAGAACAAATCTAACTACCAGAAATCAGTCAAGACTTTTGTCTCCTGTCCTCACTTTCACTCATTTGCAGTGGCAAGCTGCAGCGTATCCTCTCTTAGACTGATTCCACTGTCATTTGTTGTGCATTTATTCTGAGCCACACACTATGCTGAGGATTAAGAGGGAAGAAAGTTCTAGATTTCACATCCCTCACTTGTCATGTGATAATAAATCTCTATGGTACCTCCTGGCTTCTAGCAAGTGTTTGTTTTTAACATTTCATTTACTTGACTGTACCCACCCTGGTCCCTGAAGCTTTATTCTTACATTAATTTTAAATTATGGTGCTGAATTATTTTCATAAATATCTACACTACATCAAGTTTTCCCTGCCTTGGGCGGGATTGTTCTTGTTGAGGTGTTGTGCACTTGTACATGCCATCAACACCCCAACACACACACACACACACACACATACACACACTCTTTCTCTCTCTCTCTCTCTCTCTTACAACAAATCTAACAACTCCAGATATTGCAACTTGGCCCTTGGAGGATCATATCGCTCCTCACTTGAGACAGGTTTTCATGATGTTTATTGTAAACAATTGAGGACGTTTCTCTGTATCAATATTAGTCTTAATGGTTGCCCTGGCTTTATTAAGTTTCTAAAAATTATTTGGCATAGGATAATGCATAACACCTGTATATTAAATTTATTAGGAATTAGTAGCTTTGAAGTGAATTAAGAATATAAGTACTTTCATATAGTACCAAGTCCACAAGGAACTTAGCTTGGGAATTTTGTTTCTTGCAGTTATTTCCAATATAGGTTATGAGAGAACATTGTTACCTTGTTTTGTGTTAACCTCAAGAAGTGAGGAACCTACAGTCCAATATAGATGTTTCTACATATTAACTTATATGACTTATTTATTCTACATTTCCCTTCATGAATTCCAAATTCCTATATATATACTGGGGTGAGAAAACAGTGGTAGATTTTTTATCCTTTCCAAAACCCGTCTGCATTAAGCTATTATAATAGCTGCTTGATTTTACACTTATTTCTCTAAATCTTCATGCTGGGTCAGAATTGTTGAGATTGATTTCATCTTTCTGATTAGTTCTGCCATGTAATGACTTGGAAATCTATCTGTAAAATTCAGTGTTGATTTTAGAATGTAAAAGTAAAACAAACTTTCAGTAAAACAAACAAGACAAAAGATTTTTGTCTCATCATTTTACAGACTGGGAAACAGGACCTTTCTTGACATTCAAGGTAGAGTGCAGGTATATTAACTACTGTCCTGTGGTTCCATTCTGGATCAGAAGGAAACAACTTGTATGCATCTCAGATTAGAGTAGAAAAATCTAAGGAAACAACACATTTTATTTCAAAAACTCTTCTTGGGACAACATTTTTCCCCCTAGGATAATGAGTATGTCTATTTTATTAATATGTTATCTCAAATTTTTAAGATGTATTTTTCATGGTACAGAGATGGACAGTTTTGTACTCAGGGATCACTTCTGGTGGGCTCTGGGGACCATATGGGGTGTCAGGAATGGAACCCAGGTTGACCTTGTGCAAAGCAAATGCCTGTATCTGCTGTACTGTTGCTCCAGCCAGCCCTGGGATGGACAGTTTTAAAACCTGACTGTTGACTTGAAAAAAATTTCTTTGGTGTAACCAGAAAGTACCTTTTGTAAAGGAAGTAGCCTTTTGCATAACTGACTGCAAACTCTTCTTCTTCAAGGGAGATCGGATGTGGCATTTTGCTGTGTCTGTGTTTCTGGTTGAGCTCTATGGAAATAGTCTCCTCCTGACCGCAGTCTATGGGCTGGTGGTAGCTGGATCAGTTCTGCTCCTAGGAGCCATCATCGGCGATTGGGTGGACAAGAATGCCAGGCTCAAAGGTGAGTGATTCTCTAACTCAGATTGTGTTTGTGCAACTAGTGCACATGTGTCTGTGTGATATTGATAACTTTGTCTTGGATCTCCTGGGGTGCTTGAACAAAGATGGGATGCTAGAATCTTGACCTTAAAGGATTTTTTGGGTGTTTTTTTTAAACTCTGCCTGCTCATAAATTCCAAATGTTAATGATTAACAAAGTAGCAGTCTTCTTGGAACCATGTTAAACATTAAAAGCTTGCTTAACCCAGCCATCCTTTCTCACCTTAAGGGACTCCCTGTCATGTAGTGTCCTGTGACAGATTTATCATCTGTACCCTGGGCCGCTGGTTCCACACAGAATTGTGTGTTGGGATGTTGAGAATTGTAGATTCAGAATAGCACATGTGATTCTGGGTCACAGGGATCTGAGTTACACATTTTTGAGGGTTAAAGAATAATATATTGACATGTATTGTGTTAGTACTGAAATCATACATTTTGATGTAGGAATGAGAGAAAAGTAATTGAGCAGTTCAGTTATTCAGAAACCTGGGAAAACTGAACAATTATTATTCAGGGCAAAAATTTCATGAATTGCTCAGTTAATGCTAAAGCCTAGGTGTGGCATTGCAGATGTTACTAGTTTTCTTTTTTTCCTTTTCTTTTTTTCTCTTTCTGTTTTTGAACCTTACCTGGGGGTACTTGGCTTGCTCCTGGCTCTGTGCTCAGTGATTACTCCTGATGTATCCCAGGTGACCAGGTGGTACCTGGGATCGATCTGGGACTAGACTGCATGCAGGACAATCACCTTAACCTTATATTATCTCCAAGCCCATGCTATCAGCCCTTCTTTTCAGTGTACCATCTTATCTTGGGTAGAGAGTAACTAATTTTCTTTTTAATCAAATTCTGTATATTTTTGTTTTGAAAATGGTTAGACTAAGAGACATAGGAAAAATGTCTTTTTTGCCATCATTAAAGTATTTGCATTATTAAAGTATATTACAAATATACATATACATATACTTGATCACTTGATTCCCTGTTATTCATCGATTTACTCGAGCAGGTGCCAGTAACGTCTCCATTCATCCCTGTTGCGTGCTAGCATAGCCCAATGGCATCTGTTCATTCTAGGAACATGCAGAGCCTCAAACCGATCATTCAGGGTCTTGACGAAGAAGTCTGACCATCTTGTAGGTGGGCGTCCATGCGATCTTTTGATGTCCCGTGGAATCCAGTCAGTAATGACTCTAGTTCAGCGGCTGTCTGTAAACCTCATTACGTGTCTAGCCCATCTGATTTTTGATGCCTTGGCAAATGAGACAGTGTCGCTGATTCTTGAGCGTTGACGGAGATCCGAACTCCAGATTCTATCTCTCATTTGAGTGAAGCGTGATATTCCAAGCATAGCTCTTTCGATTCTTCTTTGAGAGACCCGAATAGCGTTCTCATCCTCATCCCTAGGCCCAGGTCTCTGAGGCATATGTTAACGCAGGAAGAACAGTGGAATCGAAGAGATGTGCTCATAGCTGGAGGTTCTTTGTCCTCTTAGTTATTTCTTCAACGCTCTTGAAGGCATTCCAAGCCGCTCACTTCCCCCTGCGTAACTCAGGTGCCAGGTCATTCATCATATTGATTTCTCGATCTAGGTATATATACATATACTTAAAGTATATTATAAATTGAACTCTTTTAACTTCTTGATGTTGAACATTGAAATTGTAGGCTAGCTAAAGATAGCTGAGTTAAATGTTGAGTTAGGCATTGTTGAGATAGTAATAGGGTTTCAGTGCCTGCCTTGGGTATGACTGACCCTGGTTAGAGTTCCAGAACCACATAGTCCCCAGAATATTGCTGGGTATAGCCTGGGAAAGCCCCCAGTACTGCTTGGGTATGGCCTTGAGAACTACATGAGTGGTCCCCAGCGCAGGGGTTGGATAAATGTGCCCACAAACACCAGCCTCAGGTGGCCAAGGCTAAGCCACGAGGGGACCCCCATGTCTCCTGAGCACTATTTGGGAGTCTTCTCCAAATAACAGTTTGATAGAATAATGATATCCCATCTGTACAGTGTAATCAGTTTATGTCACCCTCCATGAGAATCTTTTCTGAGTTAACCCTTTCTTCCCCAACACACCTGTGGATATTTGTTAATAGCTTTTGTATTGTTGTTATTCTGTCTTTAATTATCTGTTCACATATCTGTCCTTCCTCTGGTGTTTGGGTCCTGAAAGGTAAGACTGTTGTTCAGTTACTATTTTATATTTATGTAATAAATGTGCATATGAGTGAATTAATTCCACGTTGGGGTTTTATTTGAAACTAATTTCAGAAAGCCAGGTTTTGTCATAAGGCTTTGATATGACCTCCCAAGATGAAATGAGCTTCACTATCCTTGAAAACAAGAGCTGTAATTACACCTTATATTTACAACTCTGGATTTTCAAAGGGTTTTTATGTACATTTTATTTTTGCACCCTAATGACCCAATAAAGTAAGGACCCACCTTAATGACCCATATTATAGATACAGGCATAAGAGACATTAGTAAATATGGCCTAGATTGTCTACCTTCCATCGTCACTTTAAGAAATTTGGCAGTTCACTGCTTATTGGACAGCCAGGTATAAGCTGGTGGTGACGGGGCAACTGTGGCCTCATAGAATGGGGGGCAGAACCGGCGCATCCTTCCTGCCCCACTGAGGCCAAGAGTTGCCCTCCACAAGTGGCTCTCCAGCACGGCCATGGCCCCAGAGGCACACAAACTAATTTTGTAACTATGTGGCTTTTGGCAGAAATCCCTCCAGACTTAATTAATAAAATATCAGAAATCAAAAATCATATGGTCTTCATAACCAGCAATAGAAAACAAATTATTTCACAATGCCTTTTCAGCAGGTCTGATTGTTGAGAGAAAATTCCAAATAATAATGGTGCATCTTTTGTTGAAATAATGACTGTAATCAAAGTAGAGAGAAAGAGTTAAGTGAAAATCATCTGCCTCACAGGCATTGAGAGAGGTGGGATGGGGGGTATATTGGGGTTCTTGGTGGTGGAAAATATGCACTGGTGAAGGGATGGGTGTTTGATCATTGTATGACCGAGACTTAAACCTGAAAGCTTTGTAACTTTTCTCACGGTGATTCAATAAATTAAATAAATAAATAAATAAGTAACCAGGAAAAAAAAAGAAAGAAATTTGGCAGAATCTGTAATGGAAGGCATTGGTTTGTATTTAAGAGCAGTGGCACAGAGCATTACTTTGCCAAAAGAAGTAGCGTGGCTACTTTATTTTTGGCCATTTTTTTACATGCATTTCCTATTTTACCATACTGTCTTATTTTAGCAGATTAAGCCGTCCATGTAGGAGGTTATGGATTCCATAACCTTCATTAACCTCCAAGCCTTATCTCCATGCTTTTATTTTAGCTTAAGTAACAAAGAACTGAGGAGAGATAAGTATTGTCTGTGTAATTTAGTTCTGTTCATGATAGTAACTTTCAAGAGAATAAATGAAAGCAGTTGTTTTGAAAGGTTTTACACAAAATGGTAAGTATTTCATCATTTTACCTGCGAGTTTTAATTAGGTTGGTGTGATTTTTTTTTTCTTTACAGTTCAACTGGAAATAGTTGGGGCAAAATTTACTGGAGAATGAATTTTTTCTTATATTAAGCTGCAAATATTTTAACTGCTAGACTGGTGATGTGTGGGTGAAACAGAGCTCCATTGAGATGTTTTGCTGTAGTCAGCAATTTGTTTGTTTCCTTCTACAGTGGCCCAGACTTCATTGGTGGTACAAAATGTTTCGGTCATCCTGTGTGGAATAATCCTGATGATGGTTTTCTTACATAAAAATGAGCTTCTGAGCATGTACCATGGATGGGTTCTTGTAAGTTCTCCATGATATTTTCACAGCAGAAAATTTAACAGCCGGCAGTGGTAAAAGAGGAAAACGTTTGAAGGCTAGAAACTGTTTTCTGCAAAGGGATCTCTGTATTTGTTTTCGTATCCCCTACATGTTTCTCCTCCCCCCATAATAGGCATTCATTAACTACTGTCTTGTTTTTTTATTTGCTTTATTGGCATATCTAAGATTTTATATAACTCAGTTGTTATTTTTAAGTTCATTAGTATTAACCTTAATTTGCACAGACTACATAAAAGTGTTACCCATTTACAAATTAATGAATATAATATGTTCTAATACTAATTGAAATTTTTATTAGGGACATGGTCTAGATAACACTGATTTCAAGTTGACAAAAAAGAGGAAATACTTGGGTGTGGTGGAAAAATATTGGGCTTGTTGTCAGAATTGCATTTTATTGCGTGTATTTGGATGACAGTAAAGGGTTTCAAAGCCTAGTAGGATATTAGAAATCTTCTATTACAACCTTTCACAACGTGGGGTCATATGACTTCCTGTGGGCCTCAATTTGTTCCAGAGGGAAGCACAGGTAAAAATATTATAAGTGGGGTCTGGAGCTATAGCACAGCTGGTAGGGCATTTGCCTTGCATGCGGCCAACCTGAGTTCGATTCCCAGCATCCCATATGTTTCTCTAAGCACCACCAGGAGTAATTCCTGAGTGCATGAGCCAGGAGTAACCCCTGTGCATCAAAAAGCAAAGACAAAAAAAAAAATCAATGTTATAAATGGAGGACCAGAGCCTAAGACTAGTGGCTGACTGGTTAGGTAGGGTTCCACAAGAAGGAAACACAAGAGGACCATGGTTGGAAAAAGATTGAGAAGCACTATGTAGTCTATTCCCTTCAATTTATTGATGAAAATAGTAAGACAAAGTGATACTAGCTTAATGCCCATTGTGAATATAACTAGAGAGTATCTGAATTCTAAATTAAATACAGATCTTCTGACCCTTCATTTTTTTTCAAAAATAGGTATTTGTAGGGAAATATTAAAACTCATCCTTATATTAACACTTTATGGCAACCGTCTCAAAAATGTGCACACAACTGGTGTTTATATAAGGTGTACTACAGATGTATGAATTATGAAGGTATTTTGCCCTTTCACTTGATGACTGATATTTATTGTTTGGTGTGTACAAAGTAAAATGATTTCCTATAAATTAAATTAAAATTGAAGTTTTATTAGTATGTCACCAGATTTCTCACTAGCCTATTTTTAACTATAATTGTAGAGTAAGGTAGGTTTGCTATGGTAAACTGACATTTTAACTCAACTTCCCCTTGAAATTTCATAGACTTCCTGCTACATCATGATCATAACAATTGCAAATGTTGCAAATTTGGCCAGTACAGCTACTGCAATCACAATACAAAGGGATTGGATTGTTGTTGTTGCAGGAGAAGACAGAAGCAAATTAGCAGGTAATTTGATTTTATGTTTCAACAAAATGGTTTATGTTAGGATTTACTGAAATTTGTAATAATGAGGTAGAAACTATGATTCTGGGCATTTTTAAGAACCATACATTCAAAACAGTCTTTTTCTTACACAGTCTCAAAGCATACATTTGTCTCTTGCTTATGAAGTTATTTAGAACCACAATGAACTTCTCTTTTATCCTATGCAAACTAGACAAATAAAGACTATTTCTTTTGAGCTACTTATTTCTTTTATTGTTTGATTTTATGGACAACACCCGGTGTTGTTTAGGACTTACTCTTGGCTTTATGGTCAGGGATCACTCCTAGTGGGTTCGTATGTTATGCTGGTGATTGGGGATAGAACCTGTGTTGACTGCATGCAAGGCAAGTGCCCTACCCAGTGTACTATTGCTTCATCCCTGAGATGCTGCTCCTTATTTTTCTAATGTTATTTTAACTGTTTATAAATAGTTACTTAAAACCTAGAACAGTGAAAATATGTCATAGGACTTATCAGTCATGCCAAGGATGTTATTTTCAGGTACTTAGTTATCTGATGAAGGATTTTATATTTATTCAAAACAAATGAAAACAACTTTATTCTAGGAATCTCTAGAAGTTTTTCCTTCAGTTTAAAGATTATGATCTGTAACTTTTCTGTTTGCTTGTTTTGACCATGCTAACTTTTTTTTCCTTTTTGGATCACACCTGGCGATGCTCAGGGGTTACTCCTGGCTCTGCACTCAGGAATCACTCCTGGCGGTGCTCAGGGTACCATATGAGATGCTGGGAATTGAACCTGGGTTGGCCACATGCAAGGCAAACACCCTACCCACTGTGCTATCACTCCAGCCCCCACACTAATTTTTATTACACTTATAATTGCTGTTAGAGACTAAAGAAAGAGAAGGCAGAATACAGTTTTTAGGATACTTAAGATCTTAGTTGTTCATGGAAAACAAAAGAGGTCAAAGATCCAGAGTGTTTTCAAAGTTGTGAACCATTAAATTAGTATTATTTGGGGCTTCATGGAATTTACCTCATTTGATATTCCCTACCTGTCCCTCAGTGTATAGACTGATCATTACACAGGGTGAAGAGTATGTCTGCCTACTGAACAGATCAGCTGACACCCATCTAGTAATCAGATCAGCTGAATCTGCGCTCTTGGTCACTAAGACCCATTGGTATTATAAACATATTGCTTCACCATCTTGACAGACAAGTTAACCATGACTTGTATGACTTATCTCAGGACACAGAGAGCCATTTTAGGTGCGGGGGTTAGCAAGCAGGTTTGTTTGACAGTACAATGTTATTTTATAGAAATAATAATAAGGAACTGGTGAGAGAAAGAACAAACTCTCTGAAAGATTTTTAAATTTTAAAAATTGCTTAATTTATCACTCTGTCAGCAGTTTTATATTTGATATAGGAATAAGGAGGATGTTTTAGGCAAACTTAGCTCATGTGAATCTGCAGAACATTTTTTTCTGAAACTGGAACCATTATTCTCTGTGACTTCACTTCTGTGATGATTTACTAATTGGAAATAAGTTTGTGTTCCTTTTATCACAATAAACTGTCATCTAATGCTTTGCCCCTTTATTTTCCAGAAAGAAAATAAACTATATTACATAATAGTTTAAGTATGTAATGTATATTTGTCTTAAAGTTCAAAAGGCACAGAAGAGTATGATTTGAAAATAGATAATCTATAGGGTGGGAAAGTTGGCTTTGAAAATGATTCTTTCCCTTATCTGAGTTTCTTAACTCATTTTGAATGGATATTTTAAAAGACATTTTCTCAGAATATTTACCTTGTCTTAGATAAATAAATTAAAAATAAATATTTCACATCACTCTGGGGGCTATTCCTGGCTCTGATGTGATTTTCCCCAAACAACAAAAATATGACTGGGCCATTTTCACTTGTCTTTTTTCATATTAGGATTTACTGTAGACTGTTCTACTCAACCAGTCTATTTTCTGGGACTCTGGAATTTATCAGATTTCAGGAAGGAAGTATGCTGCAGGTTGAACTCTTGTCTGCTGTGATTTCATATGCAGTATGAGTTGCATCCAGCCAGCAGTATAGGACGGTAGCCTGTAGTAGAAAAACCTCATTGTTGTCTACCCTTCTAATTTAATTTTAAAAACAGTGATTTAAAACAGGATAGAAAGCTTCTATATTTTTCAGGATTGGCATTTGGTTCCCTTTCTCCTACAAGGCAGAGATAGAGACAAAGGGGAAATGGAGGGTAATGGGTAATTAGAAAACAGAAGAGGTAGGAGCCTGCCTTGGGTTTTTAAAGGTTGTATCTGTGCACAGACATAACAACTCTTGTCAGGAATAATTTTTGTTTATACAAGTTGAGTTTTGAGGTTGATGGCAAAGAGTTCTTGTATGCAGCCCACCCAGGTTCGTTCCCAATATCCCATATGGTCCCCTGAGCCCAGCCAGGATGACCCCAAACTCAGATCTAAGAGTAAACCCTGAGCACACTCAGTTGTGTCCCCAAAACAAAATAACCCCATCCTTTGAAAAAATTTTAAGTTGTATGACTGAGGTTGTAGGACAGTAGAAATAATCCCTGAAGATTTAAAAATTTTACAATTTCAGGGGCATCAGAATAAAATATAGCTGGTAACCCATATTAGCTCCAGAAAATGCATTTTTCCCACAAACACATTAATTACTTTGTTACCTCACTTGTCTAGCTACTTGAGTTAGTGTTTTAGTAAAACATTCTCCTGTGACATGACCTTTAGTCTGTCAAACATATTTAAAACTACTTCCTTTTCCTAGACTTTTCCCCATCTATTGTATTATTTTTCTTCCTTATCTCCCTTTGCTAATCTTTGTGAATAGTTTTCGAAGTTTTCTTTTGTTCATGGTCTAAAGAAACAAAAGCTGAGAAAGTGTAGTATATTAGTTTCATGTTGGATGTTTTATTGATTAAAAGTTGCTTTCATATTTGAAAGAGACAAATCTTTTTCCTCTAATTTTCTCAGGAAATCTGTTAGTATGTATGAAGTATAATATATTCATTACAAAAATAAAGAGTCATTTCAAAGCATATTTTATATCACAACTACAGCTCAAAACAGTTACGTTGTACTGAAATGATCATACATTTGTATATTTGAATAAGAATAGATATGAGTTTATAAAAAGGATATGGGTGTTAAATGATTGGGTCTTAGAATTCTTTTCATTTTTCTTCAGAAAAATAACTGTTTCTTGACATACTCCATTTCTTCTATCTAAACACCATCACATTCCAAAGTGTAATATGCAATATATATCTTTAAATAATAGGAAAACTTTTTAACTAAAATAAATTTGTTTGGGGGCTTTCAGAATCAAGCGTGTAATTTTATTAGTACCTGAAATTTGGATTCATATACTGACTGGCATCATTTGGGTTCGCTCTGTACTTCTGTTTGCATATGAATTAAAAAATTGTTGGGGGCAGGTGGCAGGTAGTGAAGCCTGTGTGAAAATGGTCACAAGATCAATGAAAACTGCCTTTGTCTCCCATGTGAAAGGTGAACTATACCAAAGTTCTCCTGTTATCATGGACGCCTTTTATACTCAGAGAACTAATTGGAAAGCAATTTAGGACCAGGAAGAACTAAAAAAAGAATATAGGCAATTTTCTGTTAATGTACTTATTAGTCATACATTGCTTTCATCTAAAGGTAGTTGAAGTGATTCATAGATTTATCATTAGTTTTTGCTCTATACTCTGAGGTGGGAAATGAAAAAGTAGGTCATTTTCTTGACTTCCTCTCCTCACATCATCTTGTCCTCCATTCTGACTCAGCTGTCTGCTCCCATCATCTTAGATAGACTCTGTGATCAGGTCTAAATACCCCTTTTCCTGTAATCCTCTCCTTACATAATCTCAGTCTTAGACATCCATGTCTTGAACTACTATCTTCTGAAAATCTAGCTCTCTCCTGGTACCACAACCTCAACAATTCTCCAACCTGATTGGTACCTGCAAGTCATTAATTACCTTCTCACTGTTCATGTCCTCTGTTGTCTTCCCTACCCAACTAAATTCTCATTGCATGATTTCCTCTTAGTGCACGTCCTCAGTTTACTGTGCCTTTCTTCATTGAGTCTCTTTCTTGTTCTCTTGCTGTGTGTCTTTGTCTCTGTCTCTCTCTCTGTCTCTGTCTCTGTCTCTCTCTCTCTTTGTCTCTCTGTCTCTGTCTCTCTCTCTCTCTCTTTCTCTTACAAGATCCTGCTTAAATCTAACTCTTTCCTGGCAAGAAAACATAATGAGGAAAAATGCTTCTCCTTGCATACTGTTCTCATTTAAAATTCATTAAAATTCATGATCTTTGAGTTCACATTGGTCCTTTCATGCTGTCATAGGGGCATACAATTTTCTTCAGTTCTTAGACCTTCTTTCCTAAATGACTATTTATGACTTTCTCTTTTTTCTTCATTTTGTTTTTCCTCACACTTTGATGGCCTTGCTTCATATTTTGTTGAGATAATGGGAAAATGGAGCAAGAAGTGCCATATGCTTTCACCTTTACATTGCTCTTATTGTTTGTATCTGAAGCCCTCTGTGAGGCCTTAATTCTTGTTCCTCTTAGTGAATAGTTTAGAAAACTTCCTTTTGTGCAGTGGATTCAGTTTCCATTTGTCTTTCCTCCTTTCTTCTGTATTATTTTTACTTTTTGTAGTTGTTCTGTGATCACTGAAGATCGCGTAGGCTTGATTGTGGTACTTGCATATGTACTCACTGGGGACTGCACTGCTTTGTTGTGGTGCTGGTGCCTATTTTGGTTGCTTTGGTGCTCGCACATGCTCGCTTGTGATTATGCTCCTGGTTCTGTGCTCACATATCTTGTGATATGTAGCTCATTATGGCCACTTGTTTTGAAAAATAGGCATATGAACAGCTTATGATTAATTTGTTTTTTCTTAAAAATACTGTTTTGGGAGATGGAGAGCTAGTACAGTGAGTAAGGGTCTTTCCTTGCATACGGCTGACCCAGTTTGATCCTCTGAACCATATGTGGTTCCAGGAGTGATTCCTGAATACAGAGTCAGGAGTGATTCCTGAGCACAGAGTCAGGAGTAAGCCCTGAACACCACTGGGTGTGGCCAGCAAATTTTTAAAAGTCTAAGAAATAAAAAATCCTTTCTGGTACCTTATTTCTTTGTCATTGACTTAAAAGATATAAATATATATTTATGTGGAGTAGGTGCTAATCTCATAACTATCATCAACCAGCTATTTGCAGTATCTCCTCTTTCTAAGGTCCCAAGTAACTTCATGGGACTAACCTAGATCTACTTCATAGTGCTCATCTTTATTGAGACATCTTTAAAAAAGACAAACAAGACATCTTTACAAAAAGACAGTGTCTTTTTGCCAGTTGATTATTCTCAACTCTTTGAAGCACAGTTACCTCCTTTGGAACCTAGCCTCTGCTTCTTAAATGAGACATTTTAAAACTTATTAAAATTTTCTCAACCTCCACTTTTATTTATTTATTTTATCTATGGACCTCATATGGAAAGTGGAGGTCAAGGAAACTTTGGCCACATAGTTTTCTGAATGTCAAAAAAATAAAAATTAAATCAAATTACACTGTATATTGAATACAGATTGATTGCCTGTGTTGCATTACTCAAACCAAAAGGGATCATGAGAGTAGAAAAAAAAAGCCCTATTCTAAGACATGGCATTCTCCTGTTTCACTCAACTCTTTTCTCCCTTTTTTCTTGCTAATGTCTAAACATAGGCAGAACCAGGACTCAATCCTCAGACCTTGTCTCAATCTATTACCATTCTCTCAAATTCATCTCATCTTGTTGCTTCAAAATTCAACCAACTCATGACTCCCAATCTGGCTCTTTATTCTCCCTTACACTCCAGACTCATATATCAAATGCTTGCTTTTTTTTTAACCTCTTGAATGTCAGTAGGTCTATCAAAATCAGATCCTCTAGACCTAAACCCTTGTTTATTTCTTATTTCTCTGATGTTTCGTCTTCCCCTTCTCAGTCAGCAGCAACTCTATCCTTCTATTGGTTGTTCAGAGAGGGGAAATAAAACCTTTATAGTGCACCTCACTTTCTCTCATACACCTCATCTAAGCTGTTTGCAAATTTTTCTGACTCTACTTTAAAGTACCTCAATGAGCTCTTCATTTCCATCGAGCTCTCCTGATCCATTCCCATGACCATCTCTTATTTGTCTTCTGTTTCTATTTTTGTTTGCCCCAACCCTCCACCTAACTTTTCCTTTCCTTTGAAACTTTTCCTTTCCCTTGAGAATTTTATATATATTTTTCCTGCTTAATTTTTTTTTACCACAGTAGTTAATGAATATTTGACACAGTCTGTGTGTCCTCTGTATGTCCTTCCCTTTTTTTCCTATGGGAATATGATTTCATGAAGACAGGGAAGGATATTCTTCATATTCCCCCATAGTATCAGAATGGTGTCCCCCCATAGACATTTAAAAAGTGTTTTTGAAAATATGATTGTAGCCACTGATCATTTTAAAAGTTGATGCAAGACTAGTTTGTGATGCAATACTAAGGACATTGTGATTTTTTTTTTTTTTGGACATTGTGATTTTTAAGGCAAGTCTAATGTGACTTGATCCAAGCAATAAATGGTTTTCTAATACAATGGTTTTCTGAGAGTTCTTTTTAGGCTTTCACATTTTAGAAATCCATATTCTAGGTCTATGAGTTTGTGCTATATAAGTGGGCAGTCACTTATTGATAGATGGGGCACTGATCTGCCTTTCACTCACCTCTATAGATATGAATGCTACAATACGAAGGATTGATCAGTTGACCAACATCTTGGCCCCAATGGCTGTTGGCCAGATTATGACATTTGGCTCCCCAGTCATTGGCTGTGGTTTCATTTCGGGATGGAATTTGGTATCCATGTGTGTGGAGTACTTTCTGCTCTGGAAGGTTTACCAGAAAACCCCTGCTCTAGCCATGAAAGCTGCTCTTAAAGTAGAGGAAGCTGAATTGAAACAGCTGAATTTACACAAAGGTAAATGTTTTATTCTTATATTCTTATGCTTAGACCTTGAATGTTGGTAAAGAACAGAATGATTTTGAATTTGTATCACATTTTATTACCACTAAACGCCATCATAAGGTGACTAATCCGTTTGGTAGATGAGGTAAAGCCATGTGTTTGAGGGGTTGAGAAACAGTACTGGATTGTACCTCAGAGGATTGTAATTGGGACTTCTTGTGAACAGTTGACCAAAAGAAGCAATCAGTGGAAGAATGGCTGGATAAAGTTGAACCATAGGAATGGGAAGAATAGTGGTGGCAGAGAAAATAGGAAAATTATTAGGAGTTTAAAATGTTGTTTCAGGACTATTTGTCAAATACAGGAAAGGAATGAGAATTTTTTTTTTAATTTTTGGTCACACCCGGTGATGCACAGGGGTTACTCCTGGCTCATGCACTCAGGAATTACTCCTTGCAGTGCTCAGGGGACCATATGGGATGCTGGGAATTGAACCTGGGTCAACTGCGTGCAAGACAAATGCCCAATCCATTGTGCTATTGCTCTAGCCCTAGGAATGAGAATATGAAGGGGAGCATTTCCTAAGAAGATTGTTTTGGGCCTTTTTTTTTAAAATGTAGGAGTACTGCTATTTATTCAGCCACTGATTAGTCTGGTTGAATTGTGCATGAATTCCACTGTTTTGGGCTTTTGGGCTACTGGGATCTTAGGGTCCCAGTAAGTAAGATATTGTATATTCTCAACTATTAAATTTTGTCTTATAAAATTTCCTATTTACTTTGGTGGGAATGTAAATTGCTAAGAGAGAGAGGGGGATACCAATGGTATTTTAATTGCTGCTTCAAAATTGTTTCTTGGCTGGAATTCTTTATCAATAAAAGAAAGTACACATTATGTTTTAGGCTATTCATGGTGGAATGTAAGAAGAAGAAGGAAAATATGCAAAGATAATTGGCTTTCTTTCTTTATAACTTGCTCCAAAGTAATGACTTTTTTTTCCCTTTTATTAGCAGAAACTGAGCCAAAACCCCTGGAGGGAACTCATCTAATGGGTGAGAAAGACCCCAACATCCATGAACTTGTACATGAGCAAGAGCCAAGTTGTGGGTCCCAAATGGCTGAGCCCTTCCGTACCTTCAGAGATGGATGGGTCTCCTATTACAACCAGCCCGTGTTTCTGGCAGGCATGGCCCTTGCGTTCCTCTATATGACTGTCCTTGGCTTCGATTGTATCACCACCGGGTATGCCTACACTCAGGGGCTGAGTGGATCCATCCTCAGTATTTTGATGGGGGCATCAGCCATAACTGGAATCATGGGAACTGTGGCTTTTACTTGGCTTCGTCGAAAATGTGGCCTAGTTAGGACTGGATTGATCTCCGGATTTGCACAGCTCTCCTGTCTGATCCTGTGTGTGGTCTCCGTGTTCATGCCTGGAAGCCCCTTGGACTTAACGGTTTCTCCCTTTGAAGATATCCGTTCTAGATTCATTGACGCAAATTCCGTACCTGCAGCCATCTCTACAGAAACACCTGAAGTCCTTACAACTGAAATGCTCACAACTAATGGGTCTGACCCTAATGTTTTCTCTGCAATGAGTGCTAAGTCTGAGTCCATGATCTCTGTCAGCCTGCTATTTGCAGGTGTCATTGCTGCTAGAATCGGTAAGATGTCTCTTTTTTTTATCTTAGTGAAGTAAAGCATTTTTCTGCAGTGTAGTTTCTGAGAGAATATGACAATAATGATCTGGAATATTGCCCAAGTATTTTTTTGTTTTGTTGTGGTTTGGCTGTGGGGCCACACCCAGCAGTGTTCAGGGCTTACTTCTGGCTGTACACTCAGGGTTCCCTCCTGGCAGGGAATTGAGCCCAGGTCAGCAGTGTGCAGAACAAGTATCCTACCTGCTGTACTGTCTAGTCCCAGCCTGAATGTAATTTAAGCAAATCCCACTCTTTGTCTTATATTTAATCTAGAATTTAATACATAAATTTTATTTGACAGTGTTTTCATGTATACACAAATGATTTTTGAAAACACAGGCTTGTGCATTTTAAAAATATTATTCTGTTAATAAAATTTAATTAAAATATTATCTATGATAGTCATACTGATATTTGATTATTTAGAATCTTTATATTGCTATAACTATTAGTCTATAGTCTATAATTTAGAGACTGTTTCAATGGGCAAGGGAAAAAATGAAATGTTTCTACTTAAAATGAAAACACTTGGGTGAGTAAAAGATCATTCAGTGGTTCTAACTTATGTGTATTTATTGTATAATTTTCCAAACAAATAGATTTTATAGCTCCAGAAGGAAACAAGGTAAAGACTTCTTACGAAGCAATGTTTGATCAATCATTAACAGAGTAGCTATGAATTACCTTTTCTGAATTTGTTCTTGAAATGAAACCATACCTATTTATCTTGTGATACAAAGCAGTTCATTAATTTATCACAGACATTAATATTCAAGCAAGACAGCTTTATTGTCGGGGCTTTAGAAACCAAGTAATAAATGTAATAATGGTTTAAAGTTTCTTTACATTTTAACTACAACAATATATTAAGTTATAGTTTGAAAAAATTAGCTTAAAAATAAAAAAATATGTACTTAAATAGGATTTATTCTGTCTTTGATTTTAGAATTTTGCTTTTAGAGTATGAATAAACATCAAAAAAAGAATTATTAAGTTTGTAGATTAAGATTTAGTTTTGTCTGGAAAAATAATTTCCTGAAGATACTCAGCACTTATTAATGAAAAATAATTCTCTATGACACAGCTATTATAAACAGATATTTATTTTTAATATGGTGACTTTCACCACATAAGCATAGTAATAGGGTTAAGTGTGTTTTGTGCCCATAAACTAATTTTAAATCTTTAAATATGAAATATAAAGCAATTATTTAAATTCAATTCTTTCATTATAGGTCTTTGGTCCTTTGATTTAACTGTGACACAGTTGCTGCAAGAGAATGTGATTGAATCTGAAAGAGGCATTATAAATGGTGTACAGAACTCCATGAACTATTTACTTGATCTTCTGCATTTCATCATGGTGATCTTGGCTCCGAATCCTGAAGCTTTTGGCTTACTCGTATTGATTTCAGTCTCCTTTGTGGCAATGGGTCACCTCATGTATTTCCGGTTTTCCCAAAAAACTCTGGGCAGCCGGCTGTTTGTTTGTGGTCCTGATGAAAAAGAAGCTACAGATGAAAACCAAACCAATACATCTGTTGTATGAAACAGTTTTAACTGTTGCTATCCCTGTTACTAGACTATATAGAGCACATTTGCTTAGTTTATACTTCAGAATTCCAATAAATGGCTGGGTGTTTCTCTCTGGTTTTAACACAGCTGTACCTTGAGAGCTAAAGGCTATTTAGGTAACCTAAGAAGAAATAAGATGGTTAATATCCCTTACATTTAGAGGTGGGAAAAAATGGGCAAAGAAAAATTTAGTTCTAATATGGAGACTAAAATATACCCCCTATTTCTCATGATCAGATAAAAATTTATATAAAAGTCATTAGTATGAATTGAGTTATTTCCAGTAGATATTTATTATATGTATTAGAATTAAAATACTTATAGAGGTCCAATTAATTGACTTATTTTGGACATTTTATTATTGATTATAAAACAAATTTTGCTTCAAATATGAAGATTAAAGTTTGATAAATAGTATTATCCTTACTGATCTTATTGATCTTAAGGGATTTACACATATGTGGAAAGATGAGATACTTATATAGTGTTCTCTCATAGAGTCTGTGGGTTAAATTTAGAGAGCACCTTTATATTTACAATGTCAGCTAGGGAAATTAGTTTATTTAGCATATGGAGAACTGCATAAAATGGCTTATGATGTCAGCTGTAGGTAGAGGCAAAGCTGTAAAGTAGATTTGTAATACAGCAAATGCATAAGGGCTTTAGACATGCCAACAGTTTGACCATAGAAAACTTAGTCACTTAATGACACATGGAATGTTTAATGGCAAAATTCGCATTTACCTTACACCACTATCATTAATGATCTCTATCTTGGAATATGAGGGAATAAGCTTTTAGCCTTGCAAGTTCCATGTAGAAAGCAAAGCCACGCTTGGAAAGGTTTTATTTTATAAATCATTTGATTTACTTTTAACACACTGGCTCACTTTGAGCATTTTTACTTTTACTGTTTTATACCCAGGAGTTATTTTTACATTGTTGTGTAGAGCAAAACTGTTCATAAATGTATCCCTTTCATATGTCTTTGGAAAGAATGGGGTTTAAAAATAACTTTTGTATATATTAAAAAAAAACTGTTTTACGAGTCATTTTGCAACATGCCAGTACCAACTGGTACTTTGCCTTAACCGTTGATGCACTTTGGAGGAGACTGCAATACGTTGCTGAGAGCACTTTCTTTATCCTTGACATTTAATCTTTTTCTTCTCTCTATAGTATTACATAATGATTTGCTATGTTGTAAAATCTTTGTAAAAATATTTCTATATAAAAATATTTTTAAAATCTTGATTTTTTTCTGAGTCATTGTTTTTCAATTACTTAAACATTGTCTTTGTTATAGAACATCAGTTTGAACAGAATAATCTTTTCCACTAAAAAGGGATACGATGTATAAGGGGACCAGAATGATAATGCAGCTGTTAGTGCATTTGCCTTGCACCCAACCAACCGGGGTTCTATCCCCATCACCCCACATTGTTTCCTGAACCAGGAGGAGTAATTCCTGAGTACAGAACCAAGACTAAGCCCTGAGCACCACCAGATGTTGCCAAAAACCAAAGCTAAAAGGGTTACAGTGTCATGGAAACATATTTTTAATGTTACTAAGTTCATATGCTAGATTGGTATCTTCAGCTTTTATCCAGTTATCCTTTTAATCTTATATACCCTTGTTCCACCATTTGGTTTCCTAGTTTTCTTTTGTGTCAACCCATTTATGCCATTTCCACCTTGGAAATACAGGGGGCCCACAATGGGCAGTAGGACCTCCAGTTGAGAAATGCTGGTCTAGGTTGTTGTGGCTCTGGGGTAAATTGTAGTAAATATGTGACCTTGAAGACACATTTATCTCTAAATTTTACATTCTCTTCTAAAAAATGGATCTGATGATATGAAATCAGTTCTACCTACCTTACAACTTTTCTGTTGAGTCAACTAAGACTAATTACATGGAGGAACATATTACCTACTTTTAGCACTCAATTCTTGTTCACGGTGATCATTTTCAGTTTTCATTGTCATAATGTTCCTTCTCTGTCCTAACTGCCCTCTCCTCTTCACCCCCACTTGTGACAGTCCTCCTGACCCTCATTTCTATTGTCCATCGATAATAGTCACATTAAAGATTGTGTTGATAATTAAGTGAGTGGAATCACATTCTGAATTCAACATACATTTGCTGAAGTCTTGAAATATACTCCAAACCAACTGGTTCTGGGATGATGATTCTAATCACAACATTGATCAGAAACAACTTCTTTTCCATGAGCCTGAGAACTTTCAGTATCATCCTTTGTCTATTGATCTGCTCATAACTTTTGAATGGAAAAGTAATGCTTTTTTCAAGAACAGGTGACTGAATAGAATATAGTACAACTACAAAATGGAATATTACGCAGCTGTTAGGAAAAATGAAGTCATAAAATTTGCTTACAAATGGTAATGGAGAGAATCAGACTAATTGAAATGACTCAGAAGGAGAGGAACAGACAGATTTATTGCACTCATTTGTAGAAAAAGCACAGTTTGAGTCAGATCAAACTTTTAGAACTGGATGTGGTAGAGAATCACTGAAGTGTTGGATGGTCTCTGCCTGGTCTTGCACCAGGACATAGAAGTAGGGCTAGGCAGGACCAACTAGCAATACAAGTAAAGTGGATCAGATACAGAAGAATAGTCTTTTGCTCAACCTAGTTGTATTTCCCAAAAGTATTATTTTGCTCCCACCTGAAGATAATATTTTTTTCATTCCTTATTCTATGAAGGACGCTACTTTTTTGTCTTGTGGATAACACCTGGTGGTGTTCAGAGGTTACTCCTGGCTCTGATTTGCGGAAGGACCATATGTGGACCAGCCACAGACAACACAAGCACGTTAATCACTGTACTATCTCTCCTGCCACCCCCACCCCCATGAAGTCTTTGAAAAGAAAAAACGTTTAATTGAATCACAGTGTGATATACAGTTACAAAGTTGTTAATGACTGAGTTTCACAATGTTCCAACACCCACCCCTTCACCAGTGCTCATTTTCTGCCAATGAATGTCCCCAGTTTCTCTTCCAGCCACCTCCTCTGCCCCACCCCACAGCATGCTTCTATGGCAGACACTTTGATTATCTTCTCTCTCTCTCTCTCTCTCTCTCTCTCTCTCTCTCTCTCTCTCTTCCCCTTCACATTTCCCTTTTAGACTCTGTGGTTTGCAATACTGAAAGGGCATCTTGCATATCACCTCCTTTCAGCGCTCATTTTCTGTCCGGAGTGATCATTTCCAAGTACCATTGTCTTAGTGGTCCCGTCTCTGTCCTAATTACCTTCCTCCTCCCCTTTGTGGCAAGCTTCTTACCATGGACCTGTTCTTCTGACCCTTGTTTCTGTGTCTTTGGATATTATTCATGTACTATGTTGTGTTTTTTTAAATTTACATCAATAAATTAGTGCAGTCATTTGGTGTTTGCCCCTCTCCCTCTGATTTTACTCAACTTGATACTTTCCATGTCCACTCATGGATAAGCAAATTTCATAACTCCATGACATCTTCTCATGGCTATTAAATTGATTCAACATGACATTCTTTTAGTATGTTAAGAACAAGAAACGTATTTTTATATCCATAAAGAAATATCTTGATTCTCATATACGTCTTGCTACATCTGACTTTTTTATATTCCTTCCGTTGCCCTCTTTAAAAATAAGATGAGTAAGAGATTGATTTCCTTCTTACTGTTAGACTGGAATGATGAAAGAGGCATTCCAAAGGGAGCATGGCAACGGACATGCTGTTGGGAAGTAGCAGGCTGGGGTCAGGCAATGGTGAGCTGAAAAGCACCTGGCTAATAGCACAGTGGTAAGCAATGCAGGCTACCCTGTAGGAATATGGTCCTGCATTGTCAGAGCTTTTGATTTTTTCAAAAGCACAGAAACTGAAGTTTTGCATTATATTTACAAATTCTTAAGTTTGCTAAAGTTCTTTTTTTCTTTGTTTTTAGTCAAATAGAATACATCAAATACAAAGACTCTAAAGGCTGATTTTTTTTTAGCTTTCTTCTAAAAAACAGGATTATTTGTTAGTGAGAGAGTACTATTTGAATCAATTATAGGAGGAGAGTTATGTATACCAAAATTGTGAAGTATTGAGAACAAGAAATAACTGAGAAAATTAGTCTTAAAAAGTATTTACCTTTGTTGAATATAATTTAAGGTCAAATAATCTATGTAGTTATTACCTTCCAATGAGAATATGTCCTGTACTTTCATATTTCATGTGGTGTTTTCACTTGTTGGGCTAAAGGATAATGATGATTCTTTGAAAATGACCAACTTTGGCTGAAATACAAATACAAAGGACTTCTGATTAAAAAATAACAACATCCGACAAGGGGTTGATATCAAGGATATACAAAGTACTGGTTGAACTCCACAAGAAGAAAACATCCAACCCCATCAAAAAATGGGGCAACGAAATGAACAGAAACTTTCCCAAAGAAGAAATCCAAACGGCTAAAAGGCACATGAGAAAATGCTCCACATTATTAATCATCAGGGAGATGCCAATCAAAACAACAATGAGATATCATTTCACACCACAGAGACTGGCCCACATCCAAAAGAACAAAAGCAACCTGTGCTGGCGCGGATGTGGCAAGAATTAAATAATTCTAAGTTATTTAAGTACTACTTAAAGAGGAAACATCTGCTTTAACATTTCATTAATTAAACCCTTCTATATCTTGTTAAAAAGATAGTACATGTGCTTTGTAGATGAAGAAACCGATTCTTAGAATGTGTATGTGCTTATACTGCTAGGAAGATATGCACAATAGAATCTAAACCAATTCAGTTTCCAAAGGCACATTTTATCTTCCACACCACACAAATCTAGCATGGCACTTTTAGTGTCAGCAAATGCTTTATTTTTGCTCCCAGTTGGTGATTCTCGATCAACTCAGCTGGCAACTTAATGCAAAAGCCAGAAGATGAGATGCTGCTCAGGCTCTGATGTATATAAGACACCCAGGCCATGCAGGTGGTGCTCAGGGGCCCTTCAGGTGCACCCATCAATGTTTGGGCTTGATATGGTTCTGGGAATTTAAGCCAGGTCAGGTGCACATCAAGACTTCACCTTAATCCCTGTACTAACTCCCAGAACCCAATCTTTAAAATTCTTAATAGTCTGAGATTATTATTTATTTACAGTAAATATATTTTACTGACTCTTTCAGGGTCAGGGGAATGAGACCCATTGTATTTATTTATTTACATTGAATTTCCTGCCCCCGTGCCTGGTTGTCCTCACCGGGGCCCCTTAGAGGAGGGAGGGTTGAGTTTCCCCTCTCCACCTAAAGTAGAGCCCCGACAGCTGAAGACCTCTAGGACCCAGCCAAAGCCATGCTGAGACCACTCTCCACTCTCTTGGACGAGGAACCGGCAGATGAACAAGGTGTGTGGAACCCAGGGCTGAGATCTCCAAGCCTGCTCGGTTTGGGACTGGGCCTCCTCCACCCAGCTCCCTTACCTTCCAGTAGCTAGACAGTTATACCCACCAACTGCCATGTAACCCCATCAATGGGCAGAATCCAGAGACTCTAAAACCAAGCTCCTGGAAGCTCTTATTCTCTAGTTCTCACTCTCAGAGAACCTGGCAGGCTACTAAGAGTATCATACATGCCTATATGCCTGACTAGGAACACCTGTAAAGGTGATTAGAGGCTGCCCCCAAAGCTTCCATCCCTCTCGGAGAGGCTGGCAAGCTACCAAGAGTATCCCACCCACATGGCAGAGCCTGAAAAGCTACCCGTGGAGTACTCGATATGTCAAAAACAGCAACAATGAATGGTCCTCATTCCCCTGATCCTGAAGGAGCCCCCAATATGTCATTGGGCTACACTAGCACCTGACAGGGACGAAAGGAGACATTACTGGGCCCATTCGAGTGAATTCATGAACTACGGGGTGATAGTGATAGTGATTGTATTTCCAAAGAGGAATCGAAAGAACTAAGCTTGGAGTATCACGCTTCACTCAAGTGAGAGAAAGAATCTGGAGTTCCGACCTCCATCAAGGATCAAGAATTAGGGACACTGTCTCGTTTGCCAAGGTGTCAAAAATCAGATGGGCTGGACACATAATGAGATTTGGAGACTACCCCTGGACTAGAGCCATTACTGACTGGATTCCACCGGACGTCAAAAGATCGCATGGCCGCCCACCTACTAGATGATCAGACTTCTTCGTCAAGACCCTGAACGATCGGTTTGAGGCTTTTCATGTTCCTAGAACGAGCAGATGCCA